CACCCGACAGCTAGCCCCATTGAAGAAAAGGTGCTTTTGGACTGACTATCCATAAACCTTGTCAAGTTCGATTTAAAGCTGGATACAGTCTTTTGGAGCTATGATCTGTTATAATCTTCCCACTAGACGCAACAGCAAAAATAAAAATTTACTGCTCCACCAAACTTCTAGCCCAACCAAAGGAAAAAGCAAAACTCCCATGACATTGACAAAATAACGTATTAATCGCCGCCAACGAACGCTGTACCACGACTGCGGACTTTGGCTCTATTTATAGGTCTCTTACTGACCTTCGACTTCTAGGACTGGAGGGTCAGTTACCAAGTTCAGTGGTTACCCATAGCTTTTGCCGAGGGGTCAGGTGGATTTTAAGCATGTGCAGAGGCAGTACATTAAGGAACGTTCGAAATCGACGCGATAAGCATTAATAAACGATTAATCGCTAAAATAGTGAATTTCCACGGCAATGCTTACTTTCTCCCGGGCACCTCCCACCTGAGATATCGTCCGAGGTATGAGACGAATGCCTAGCATTAGCTTGCAGACTTCGGGAAGGTTTACTCTGCATCTCAGTTCACCTTTTTGGCAGAAGCGCTCGAGCACTTTGTTTCGATGTTCTTGTTCTGGATTCTTTGCACGACTGTGCGCAGTCGTCCACTGCTTCCTTCGGCAAGTTGAAACTTTCCACCAGTAAATCGGACGGCAAATCAGTAGGCCTTGCTTCTTTGGGTTGGCACAATGTGGACCGTAACTGGTTTGCATGCCATGCCCAGATCTGTGCGCCCATCATCACGTCATATATGACGTTACCGCGCCTGCGTTTGACCGTCCCTGGGGTCCATTTCGCATGGCCTATCCGGTAGTCACGTACTAGCAACTTCTATCCAAGAGTAAATGATCGCTTCTTTGCTCCATGCCGCCGGTTAAAATCTCTTTTCATTCTGCGGTTTCTTTCACCAACAGAAGACTCCGAGCGCGGTCGGATGGCATCGAAAGGCATGCGGAGCTTCCGGTTCATCATGGTCTGTGCTGGAGAGACTCCGTCTGGCGCTTGTGGATTCGGTGTTGATCGGTAGAGGAAAAAGAACCGGTCAACCATCTCTTCCATACGTCCCTCCCGTTTTGATTTGTGGAGAGCTTGTTTGAATGTACCGACAATCCTTTCTGCCCGGCCATTCGACTGCGAGCAAACGTGCTGTACGGCGCATTGCTTGCAAAACCGCAAACGTTGCTGAAGTAAATTGCGAGCCATTGTCAGTGACAATTGTCTTAGGACAGCCGGATCGGCTAAGGGTTTGGCGCAGTTTCGACATGGTGGCATTGGTGGTTGTGTTATCCATAAGGAGTACTTCAGGCCACTTGCTGTATGAATCGACTGTAATGAGGAAACCTCGGCCGTTGATCGGTCCCTCAAAGTCGACATGGACGCGGCACCATGGCTTAGTAACTTTTGGCCATGAATAAGGTACTGATTTTTGTGGCGCTTGCAAGACATTGGCACACTGTTGGCAGCGTTTGGCTATTTCTTCTTGCTGTTTGTCCATGAACGGCTAGTATACATAACTGCGAGCAAGCGCCTTCATCCGGTTGCTTCCAGGATGCCCGGCATGGAACTGCCGAATAAGACGCACCAGAAGTGCCTTGGAGATGACTACTCTTTCCGAAAATAGTATGCAGTCGTTTACAATAGAGAGAGTGTCTCCTCTGGAAGTACTGTTGCAACTCAGAAGATGGACATGAACGTGGCCTACTTGTTTTGTGAAATCGTGGAACCTTCTTGAGTATTGGGTCTCGAAGCGTTTCGGTTCGTACAGCTTCTGCGGTAACTAGTAGACCGTACAATGCATCAGTTACCATGAAGTTGACGTCAGGTTCGACCTCAACCGAGGAAATGATGGTGTCCTTATGTTCTCGCTAGCGGGCATCAATTGGGCGTAACAGTGCATCCGCTTCGCCAATGGAAACTGTCGACTGTTACTGGATTTCAAAATCATACCCCATTAACGTAAGAACCCAACGTTGTAGCCGGCTGGCTGTGTAGGCCGGGATGCCCTTTATCGAACCAAAGATAGCCAGCAAGGCTATCTTTGTGGAATTTCTTGTCTGCATACGCTATGGCCAATGCTTCTTTCTCAATCTGGATGTAATTCTTCTCGGCATTTGTAAGTGTTCTGGCGGCCTGGGCGATTGTTTTCTGAGATCCATCGGTGTACGTGTGTGATATTACTGCACCAATCCCATGGCTTGATGCATCTGTGGCCAAGACAGTCCCTTTGGTGGGATCAAAATCGGTCAAAAGTAAGTTTGAGGACAACAGTGACTTGACGCGTTCTAAGATGTTCTGGCATTCTGATGTCCAGTTCCATGTCTGGCCTTTGGCTGGTAGCTTTTTTAACGGGGCACGCAGGCGGTGCATCTCAGGCAGTAATGCGCTGTAGTGGCCGATGAACCCACAAAAGGAAAGCAGGGACTGTAGGTCTGTTGGCGAAGGCATGTTTATAATGGCTTTTATGTTTTTCGGGTCTGGTCGACGTCCATCCTTTTCGAGGATGCACTCGAGGTATTTGATGATCGGCGTGAAAAATGTGCATTTTTCCTCACGGATCCGGAAACCGTACGACTGTATGCAACCAAGTACTTCATCCAGTCGGTTAAACAGTTCTTCCGGTGTTCGACCCATCACTATGATATCATCCAATGCAGCGGTTCCAGAAACGCCCGCTAGCATTATGTCCATCAACTGTTGGAAGATGGCTGGCGCCGTTTTCACACCAAATGGCAATCGGTTGTATTGGAATAGCCCACAATGAGTGTTGATCAGCAACAACTCCCTCGAGGCTTCGTCAACATCCACTTGCAGATAAGCATCGGATAGATCAAGCTTAGCAAAGTACTTACCACCATTCAGCTTTGCAAAGATATCTTCCGGTACAGGTAATGGGTACTGGTGGTTGTCCAGCGCGGTGTTGAGGCCAGTTGAAAAGTCAGCGCAAACGCGTACTTTGCCATTTGCTTTCTTTACTGCAACAATAGGTGCGGCCCATGATGAGTAGTGGACAGCTGTGATCACTCCGGCAAGTTCCAGTCGATTGAGCTCTTGCTCAACGGTTGACATGGCTGCGTATGGTACCGGTCTTTTAGCCTTGAACACTGGTTTAACACCTGGTCCCAAGTTCAGTGTTGCCTTGAATTTCGTACAGTGGCCCAACCATCCTGAAAGACAGAAGCAAATTTTCGCTTCGGGGTACTTGTCATGTCTTCGACGGACTTTGATGATGGGTCTGGACGTGCTCAAACTCGATTGTAGACCTGAAGCAAGGGAACATCGAGGAAAATCAACTTTACAACCAAGTCGAGGCCAAGAAGATTCAAATTTTGTCTGTCTGAAATGTAGCATGTTCCCGACTTTTCCACACCTTGGAAAGCAATCTTGCAATTGAGTTCGCCACTAAGTTTAACACACCGCCGGATGCATTATGTGCAACTTTCTAAGACTCGACCATCTTCGGCCTCTTTATGTCATTCCATGTGCTCCTGGCAATATTCTTGATGTCCGAGGCGGTGTCAAATTGCAGGTTCGCTGGGGATCCCAATGATCAACACACTGATAAATCGTCACCTCGGTTTACACTCGCTTTGGAATGCGGCAACTATGGACAGAGGCTCGGCGCCGTCCCTTCTGGAATTACCCTTTCAATAAGACTTCACTTTTTCGACCGGACTTGACTGCAGCATTCCTCTTTATACCCACGCTTATGACACGTTTGGCAAATATGATGTTTGAAGGGACAAAAGCGAGCGAAATGCCATTCGCCGCATGACCAGCATGCTGTGGGCGGTTTCTGCGTAGGCCTCTTGAAGGGTTTGCTTGCGTTGGCAGTCCTGGCCTTTTTCACGAGTTGCACGGTATCTGGCGGTGAGAGACAATTGCGTCCGACAATGGCAGTGTCGTGTTTTAGAGTAAGCAGCCGTTTGCATTTGCTTACGAGGGCCTTCAGTGTCAGTGCTGCAGCTTATCTAAAAGCCGCGTTCGGATCTAAGCATCACTGGGCGATTGTAGAGCGCTGACGAAAATGAGACACTTAAACTGATCGTCCTTTAAAGACCGTAGTTTGAAACGTTCACACTCACGGTTAATCATGTCTGCAACGGCCCCAAGGTCGACAGATTCCTGTTTGACAATTTTCAGGCATTGCTAGCAAATACTAAACAAGGATACCGACTCACCAAAAATTTCCTTCAGCCGCGACACTACTTCAGCAAACGTCAGATCTTTCGGCTGTTTGGGTAAAATGTGGTCTATAAACCTTGAATATTCACTTATTCCGAGCTTGCGGAGTAACAAGCGCACCCTCCTAGAGTCGTCTTGACGAATGAAGTCCGTCTGGAACATGTCTTCCCAGGGCTTGAACCACGCTTCGAAGGTGCACCGAGAAGCCGCGTCATAATTGAATTCAGTGATGGTGTTTGTGAGAAGATCAACAGAACTCGCCTGCGTGTTCCGCGCCGCTGCTCCTGTTGTCTGCAAACTCAAACATTGTGTCAGCTTTTCAACCTTTTCGTTTGTGCCTCCATTTGAGTTTGCTGTTGAAAAAGTAGCTTTTGAAATTGTTTAGCAGAAAAATTCAGCACATTTCCAATTGTTCCGTCACCATTTGTTAGAATCTTCTCCCTAGACGTAATTCCAAACATAACAATTTACTGCTCCACAAAACTTCTAGCCCAACCGAAGGAAAAAAGGAAACGCCCATGACATTGACAAAATAACGTATTAATTGCCGCCAACGAACAATGTACACCGACTGCGGACCATGGCTGACCTTCGACTTCTAGAATTGGAAGGTCAGCTACCAAGGTTAGCGGTGCCCCATATCTTATGCCGAGGGGTCAGGTGGATTTTAAGCACGTGCAGAAGCAGAACATTCCGGAACGTTCGAAATCGGTGTGATAATCTTTACTAATCGATTAATCGCTAAAATAGTGAATTTCCAAGGCAATGCTCACTTTCTACCGGACATGATCACTCGCCAAAGTTTGATGTCATCGGTGTAGAGTAAACAGTTTGATGCAATTGGACTCACTAGATCGTTTATGAAGACCAAGAATAGACGAGGCTCAGTACCGAGGTGAGTTGGGTTTGACACGGATTCACGTACTCTCATCTTCAGACGACTGTGCAAAGGAGAAAACTGCAGTTCCTCCCGAGGAGGGTCCTCAATGCCACATCCTTGACGTTTGGTCAAAAGCATACGATGGTCCAAACGGTCGAATGCCTTAGAGACATCAAGGTAAGCCACGTCAACTCTTGCACCAGCATCCATAGTTTCGGTGCAGTTGTTTCGTGCTGACACTAAGTTAGTTGTGCAAGTCCGATTCTGGTGGCAGCCATGTGGCTGCTGAGCAAGGAAACCAAACCCGTCCAGATCAGACGTGAGTGCGTCGGCAATGATAGCCTGCATAAGTTTTTAAAGAACTGGTAATAGAGCCCCTGCTCGATAATTATCTGGGTCGGAGCGACCACCCCTTGTATAAATGGGATTTATTATTCCGTGATTCCACATTGCAGAAACGTGCCGCTCGTCAAGGCAGTGCTGAAACTGCCGCGTCAAACGTTCAGCCAAAATAGTAGCCGCCGCAGCAAGCGTTTTGGGGCGGATGTCGTCAATTCCTGGAAAGGCGTGCAGGCACATGGATAGCAGCCTTATCATCATGATGGATGCCGTAAAATATATATGAGTGTGTTCTACTGTGGGCACTATATATTCCAAAGATTCAAGAGACCACAGGGTGCAATGAAACGTTGGTGCATATTGTTGTTGCAGAACATTCGACGTTTGTTTTTAGCAGTCCGAGTTAGACCATCCCCTGTTTGAAGAGGGGAAATTCACTTCTCACCTTGCGGAGGTTGTTCACGTGCTTGTAAAGTAGCTTAGGATTTGAAGATAATTGTTCGGCTTAAGTATGTTGATAAGCTACTTTGTCCTCGCGCACAGTGGTTACGGTGGACAACGTAGACCCTCCGGGTGCTCAGACTCGGATCGGTTTTGTGGGTATACCACGTTGCGTAGCGCATTCCCATGCGTTTGTGTCCCACTCCATATAAACGACGCCATGTTTCTCGAAACGATAGTCTTGGTTTCCGTTGCTTGGTTTCGCTGCCTCGCGACCACCGCGGAAGTTCGTCCCCGAATTGTCGTTGACAGTCTGCATGAGATCTATCATCCGAGCCACCGTCAAGCAGAAACCAAACGCTTCCTTCGGCGCAACATGCGCTGCGAGATTCAGCAGTGGATAAAGGACTGCGCCACGTTCCAAACCAGCAAGGCTCATTGTCACACAGTTACTGTCCTCGGCACATTTGGTTGTTGCGACGACCATTCCAAACACGTTCATCTTGACATCGTTGGACCCCTGCCTCCATTAAAAGGCTTCGACTAATTACTAATGTGTTGTCTGAGATGCATCGCCTGCGTGCTCGCTAAACGAGCTGATGACCAAAGACCATGCCTGGAATTGGACTCAAGTGTCAGAGTGCCTTCGAACGAGTCAAGTTAATATTGGTCTCGGACTTGTTGCTGGTTCATTACGACCAAACGCAAGAAATCATCCTCGCAGCAGACGCATCAAACCATGGGATCGGTGCAGTAGTATCACATATGTACCCAGACAGCTCCCAGAAAACGATGGCACGGGCAGCAAGAAGGTTGAGAAAAGCCGATAGGTGGTATAGCCAAATCGAGGAGACATTGGCCATAAGCCTTGCAGTGAAGAAATTCCACAAAATGCTATATAACCGCCGCTTCAACCTAGTAACGGATCACAAACCACTGCTGGCTATCTTTGGCTTGGAGAAAGGCCTTCCTGCCAATACAGCAGATCGTCTCCAATGCTGGGTACTCAAGCTGCTGAGCTATGATTTGGAGATCTGCTACCAAACCACAGTTTCCATGGGCTAAGCGGGCGCGCTGTCACGGCTCATTGACTCTCATCAGCAAGATGAAGAAGACACGATCATAGGCTCAATGGACACGAACCTGATGTCAAATTTCGCATGAGTGCCATATTATTGACCTACCAGTTACCGCGGAACGATTTGCAATGCTGCTACGCAAGAGCAGGTACAAATGGATGCGCGAATGAAGCTGATCAAAACCTTGACGCAGCGACTGTCTGTAGGCATCAGAAAGAGCTTCGCTCGACACGCAGGCAAGTTCCATTTATCTTCTATTCAACCCCATGACTAGATTTAATTATGATTCTTACTCTGGAAGCACTTGCGATGCGTGGTTCAGAACGGAAATCAGCCGTCAGGACGACTCCTGGTAAGTACGACTGCTGCTCGTTAACTGGGAACAAATAAACACTCTAGATTCGTTGATCACATACTGCCAAAACAGCCGAGAGATTTCAGTTTTGTAGAAGCGGTGTCACAACTTAGCAAACTTTTCGGTGATTCGTCACCATTATTTAGAATCCGCTATCAGTCGGAAAATGGTCAAGCGGGACACAGATGACTATAAGGTGCTGGCAGACATGGCCAACCATGAGTGTAAACGCTTCAAGCTGCCCTCTTTGACAACTGACCAATCTAAGTGTATTATATTATCTGTGCCTTACAGTACCCGCAAGATGCTGAGATTCGCACAAGGCAGCCCTCCGAGCTGGATCAAGGCCCATACACAACCATGAATCTGAAACATTACACCGCTTTGATCGAGCATCCTTTGGCACAACCACGAAGCATCCATGCTGTCAAAAGTTTTAAACGAAACAGGCCTGACAGTTCTTCGCAGAAGTCAGAGAACGGACTGACCACTTCCTGTTGGTCATGCGGTGAGTGGCCTTTCGCCCGATTCTGCTTAACCAAGAAGCACCTCTTCCAAAAATGCCATCAACGGGGCCACAAAAAGTACCCTGCAATCAGTCTCGAACAGTGAACACAAAAGCGTTCCGTTCCAAGAAGGTCAAAAATACCGTTGCAGACTCCCTGTCAGTCGTTGCTGCTTACCATGGTGAGTTCAAAGCCCGCAAACGTTGCAATACCGTACTTATCAACGGGATTCCTTCAATATTGCAGTTTGACAGGGTCTCTGATATAACTATGATTTCCAAGAGCACATGGAACCACATGAAGAGGCCGGAGGTCGGTGCCTCTAACTAATTGGCTCAAAACACATATGGCGGAGTGCTGAATCTAGTTGGAGAAATTACCTGCAAATGGAAATTTAACGGAGTAGAAAATAGTGGAACATGCTGTCGGACGGACCGACGGAATTTAGACCTACTTGGAGTAGACTGGATCGAGGTGCTAGGACATTTTGATGTCCCACTGAACCAGATATGTAATGAAGTCCGATCCAATCCAGAACCTTTGACGAAATCAGTCAAATATGACACGCGCGCTAATGCGAAAGCTTGCTTCTGTGTCTCAAGATGGTTTCGGTCGTTGCACAGAAGTAAAGACGTCGCTGTGCCTGAATCCAGGAGCCAAGTCCGACTTCAAGGCCAAGAGACCGGTGCCCCATGCAGCTATGCCAACAGTTGATCAAGAAATTGATTGACTAGAACGCACCGGCGTCATTGCACATGTGAACTACTCCTCATGGACCGCACCCATTGTCACAGTGAAGCGAGTAACAAGGTACGCGTCTGTGTTGATTTCACAACTGGACTGAACGCTGCGCTTGACGATCACCAATACCCACTACCAATACCGGAAGACATCTTTCAAATTTAAATGGTGGCAAGTGTTTCGCCAAGCTTGACCTGTCCGACATCTACCCCCAGATGGATGTTGCCAAAGACTCGAGAGAGCTGCTACCGACCAATACTCATCGTGGGCTGTTCCAATACAACCACTTGTATGTTGGTATGAAGAGAGCACCAGCCATCTTCCGACAATTAACGGACATCATGCTCGTGGGAGTTCATGGAACGGCCGCATATCTGGACGACACCACCACAATGGGCCGAACCGAGGAAGGGCTATGCAACCAGTTGGACGAAGTGCTAGGAGGTATCCAGTCATATGGATGCCGGATCGGGGAAGATAAATGTACCTTGGGCACGCCGACCATCCAGTACCTTAGCTTCATCCTCGAAAAGGACGGCCATCGACCGAATCCATCGAACATAGGCCATAAAGAAAATGCCTCCGCCAATAGACTTGCAACCTTGCGTTGCTTTGGTGGCCTCCTTAGACACTAAAGTGCACTTTTTCTTGACAACGCGTTATCCACATAGTGTGAGCAGCCTGTGGCGCGAACACGCATTGAAAATTAAATTTCCGTCTTTGGCACGCTCGCCAATAATTTTACCTGGAGAGAAATGGTCCTCAGGATAGTAGCAGTGTTGATCGTTTGAAATCGACGTACGTCGAAATGCCATCACAGCAGAAACTCACAGGCATTCCTACTATCCCAAGTACGCTTAGCACCCGGCCCAAGTGTGAGACTTCTGTTTCCTCTTCAACGGTGGGCGCCAAAGTGCCACTTAGGGTCCTCAGGTAGCTGGTCAGCGATGGACCCAAACTGACCATAGTGCCATAAGTTACAAGTGGCACGGTTCCAGCATGGATTTCCGCTGGTATTGGAGTACCTGCGTTGACTCTGATCGTGCCTTCGTACACTGCCGTTGCTCCATGAACTTTATCGGGAGGCGAACCAAGCGTCTCCTTCGACTGGCAACTGAGAAATTGTCTCAGCCCTCGGTCAGGCAAGCCTATCAAGACCCACTGCATACCGAACCTTCACTGTCTTGTCCTAATCACACCGAGTTTCAGTGAAATAGGATATCGGCTGCCATACACGACACAAGAGCATCTGCTTGTGGCATTATCAATCGTCACCGCACCAGTCACTGGATATCCGAGAGCTCGGCGAACTTGTTGGAATCTAGAAGAAACCTCCCTACTGGCACTAAGCACTATATGACCAAACAGACTTTCAGGCGCGAACTTAAGCGGAGCCTAAGTGCTGACAAGGAAGCCTGGTGGACCAGTCGCGCTAGAGAAATAGAGGAGGCAGGAGCAGTAGAAAATTCGTTCATCTCTACAACGTCAGCTAGAGGTGGGGAATACCGCAGCTACTGTGCCACAATACATAAGGGAAAAGGAAAATAAATACAACGGTTGCATTCCAGCTGAGCTACCAGCAACGGATGCGCATCGTTCCTGCAAGCTACCAGTCAGCTAGTAGGCAAAATGAAATATTAATAGGTTTTACGTTACGAAATGTGATCGTAGACGGAGGGGAGGCTAAAAGGGATGGGAGGGAAAAAGAAACTCACAGCAGGAAAGCCAATGAGGTCGGCTCCATGCCAT